TATTTTCTATGCTTTTGCTATGGTATTTTTTCTTCTTTTATACCCAGAACTTGAAGATTAGACCTTTTCATAGAGTCCCCAAACTCTCCCGTGTTCCCTTCATATATTTTCTCTTATTTTCTCATTGATCTTTACTGAGTCATCCAGTTCCTGTACTTCGTCCTCCATCCCTTATGCTCTGTTTTGAACTTGATCCATTCTGTAGTGAAGCGTCACATTGAGGTTTTTGTTTGACTTACTGAGTTTTTCATTCCAACATCATCTCTGTTGGGATTTTCTTCAGCAGGTCAAACTCTGTTTTCATGGCTTAGAGGAACTTTTTCATTTCATTCATCTCTTTGTCTTCGCCATCTTTGAGTTGTTTGAACGTAGTTATAATCATTCTTTCAAATTCTTTGGAAGCTTTTCCAGGTCATTTTCATTGGGGACTCTTACTACAGGTTTTGTATATTTTGGAGGAGACACAAAGATTAAAAAACATTCTTAGATTAGAAAACACAAAAGCTAAAGTTACTGAATTAAAATGTGTCTCAAGAAATTTGAAAGAAATTAAAAGGTGAGAGTGAGAAATAACAGGACAAAAGAGAACCAAATTCTACAATGGAACGAAGAAACGAAGTAGCTCTTTGTAAACGTTAACAAAGCATTTAAAAACTCTCTGTTCAAGTTTATTAATGTAAGTCTCAACTAAAAACTATCAAAAATAAAGAGACTTCAACTGCACAAATTATAAATATCAAGAAGGTAATATAAAGCAAGAGGCTGAAAAAGAAATCAAAGCTGAGCGTGATGACACTTGTAACCCCAGAATTCTAGAGGCTGAGGCAGGGGACTCTGGAGTTCAAGGACAGCCGGGGTAACTTAGTTTCTTTTCCTGTTGCTGTGATAAAAAAAAAAAAAAAAAAAAAAACCTCTAACAGAAATCCTTAAAGGAGAAAGGGTTTATTTTAGTTCACAGTTCCGGGTTACAGTCCATCATGGTGGGGAAGTCACAGCAGCGAAAATTTAAGGGGATTACATTATATTTTCAGTCAAGAAACAGAGAGAGAGAGACAGAGACAGAGACAGAGATATACTAGTGCTCCAGAGGGAGAGAAAGATAGAGATAGAGATGAGAGAGGAGAGAGAGAGAGAGAGAGAGAGAGAGAGAGAGAGAGGCATGCTAGTATTCAGCTCTCTCTACTCACATAGTTTGGGTCCTGCCCACAATTAAGATGGGTTTTCCCACATCAATTAAATGTAATCAAGAAATCCCCCACAGGCATATCCAGATCTCCCAGGTGATTCTAGAATTCTGTCAAATTGACAGTTAACAATAACTATCACATTGGTTACATACTGAAAAGTCTGTCTCTAAAAATAAGGGCTATGTATGTAGTAGAGCATTTGCTTAGCATGGTGCCAAAGCCCTGGGTTTGATTCACAGTAATCCAAAAATTCTAGAAAGGATTGATAATGTCTGACAGTGAAGATTAGAGGACTTGAGCTAGTAGTGTAAAGTATTTTCATGAAAGTAACTTCAGTGCCAGGATTGTTTTCTATTGTGGTATAATTTGCATAGAATAAAATTCTAATTTTTAGGAGTATGTTCCATGGCTTTTGACAAGCATCTCCAATCATGTAGCTACATCATGAGAGAGCCATGTAGAATAGTTTCCTAAATGCTAGAGTTCCCCGTTCTGGTCTACTCCCTTTGCCCCACTTTGCTCCTGGCAACTCCTAAAGATGTATAAACCTACATTTTACTTTTCCAGAAGGTCTTACCATATGTGGTCATTGTCTGATCTTTTGTCATCATGAGTGTTGGGAAGCTCTTGTACTTTGCTGTGGACATCCACGGTCTGTTTCTTTTCAACACTAAGGGTCCTCATTAACTTTAACTCTCACTTGGCATAGCCTAGAGTCACCCGAGAAGGGAGTCTCAATTGAAGGAGTCCCCAGATCAGATTCGCCTGTGGGCATGTCTGGGAGGGTTGTCCTGACTGTTAGTTGATAAAAGAGGGCAGAGTCCACCCTGGGCAGGTGGGTTATTTAAGAAACCTGCCTAAGTATGAGCTAGTGAGCAAACCATTGAACAAAATCCCTCAGTGGTTTCTGTTCCAGACTCTGCTTGAGCTCTTGCCCTGACTTCCCTCAGTTATAAACTGACCTGGAAGTGTAAACCAAGTAAGTCCTTTCCTCCTCTAAGTTGCTTTTAGTCAGTGTGTTCATCACAGCAACAGAATGAAACTAGACACAGTATTCTGCTGTTTGTTTATCAACACCCAGGTTTATGAAAAAAAAAAATGAATTGGCTCCAGGGTTTCACTTTGAGTAAAACTTCAGTAGACATTCATACTCAAGTCTCTGTGTGGGCATATGATTTTGTTTCTTCTGGGTAAATTCTAGGCACAGTACTGCCAGGTGGTGCACCAGACTGTCCTCTAAGCCAAACAACCACCATCTTCAGGAGTCCAGCTGTGCCTGCTTGCAAAAGATCAACACATCTGGGCTTGTTGAGTGTACATGTCCCTTCACAGAAGGAGGCATGGGAAGGTTGTGGGGTCCTCACCTGAGCATCCAGCCACTCCTCCCACTCCCTTGAAAGCAATTCTACCTTAACCGCATGGCCTTGGGAAGGGGTTAGAGTATATTAGCCAGGGAAGACTCAGGGAAGGGGACTGCATCTATAGGAGAACTGTGGGAAAGCCATCATCCATGCTGGGTGAAGACTTTCCAGTGCAGCTTTCGAGCAAAGCACCCACAATCTGTAAGCAATTCTTTACCTAGGCTCTGTAAGTAAACCCTATAAATTAATTGGTTCCCCAATTGGTTTTGGGGGGAGAAAGGAAGACATTTTTATACCTCCCCTCAGGCAACTCTGAGACAAGCAAAGCATCTCTTTCACTTTGTAAGAAATTTCTAAGGTAGCACTTACAGTGGCTGCACCCCCACCCACTGTGGGTTCTCAACCCTCCATGCCTTCACCAGCACTTGCTGGGTCTTTTGTAAAATTACTTATCCAAATGGTAGGTAGTACTGAAAGTCACATGATTTTATTGATAAATTCTACCAAAGAGTCAAGATATAAATCCTTCTGGGAAGAAATGAGAGAAAGCATGCTATTCGGTTCATCGTGGGGGTAGGTTGGCTGTGATGCCCAAACCCGGCACAGCCAAAGCAAGAAAAGAATCACATGCCAAACCCATTCGCCACATAGCTGAAACCCGCTGAAGGGAACATCAGCAAACTAGAGATCAGTATGGTGACGCATACCTATAATCCCAGCACTTGGGAGACTGAGGCAGAAGAATCACCAAGTTTGAGGACAGCCTGGGCTCAAAATGCATATATTTGTATATGTTTATTCACAGACTAAACCCAACAATATACAGAAAGAGAAAACATAACACTAAATTATCCCAAGCTTGTAAATGTGTTTTAACATTAGAAAACAAATTATATAAATTAATATAATAGCCAAATAAAACAAAGAATATTATAATCATATTAATAGGGTCTAGAGAAGTCTTGCTACTGTTAATATTCATTTATATTTAGAAAACACATTTTAGCTAGAAATGCCAGATGAGGGTATGGGCAGACAAGACACAGGGAGCATTTCACTAAATGGGCCACCTTATGTATTCTCGTTAAGCGTTGAAACAGGACCAGGGTGTGGATTACCACCACTTTTTTTGACGTCATTCTGGGTGCTAACTGAAAAAGAAAGAGAGAAGCAAAAACAAGACAGTTCGTGAAGAGCGAGTGAGAATTTGAGCAAACTTGTATCATTATTCATTATGAGGCACTCAACAGGCTGACAGAGGTGTTCATAAACAGGGTAATAAAAGTGACAATGTAAAACACAAGAGGAAATCTTGAGCTGAGCCAAGGGAACAGAAGGAGGGCTTTGCTGTCAGTTAGACCCCGCAAGCTCGAGAAAGATGAAGCAAAATCCATACAGTGTGATAGTATCGCTGAAAGCAACACACTGCTACTCTGTGTGTGTGTGCATATGTGTGTGCATGTGTGTGCATGTGTGTGTGTGTGCGTGCGTGTGTGTGCGTGTGTGTGTGCGTGTGTGTGCGTGTGTGTGCATATGTGTGTGCGTGTGTGTGCATGTGTGTGTGTGCATGTGTGTGCGTGCGTGTGTGTGTGCGTGTGTGTGTGAGTACTTTGAAGTTCCTGGGGTCCTAAGAAATGATAAATCTCAAGTACATTTATAGTCTTTACAAATCATCACCTAGCTGATCCCCCACAGAAACAACTCTGCCAATCTGTGCAATTTCAACAGTCATGCTAAGATGCTGCAGTGATGCCCAGTTTCTAAAATGACTGTTGTCCCCAGCCAGAGCCCAGGGAGTCTAGAGTGTTACTCATGGAAATGTGGCCACAAAGGCCACTGACTCAGCCTTTCAGAGTTCCTGAACGTGTGGTTACAGTCATTTTAAAGCTCATTGCATTCAGTCTCCAAGTGCATTTGTTTATTTAATCACAAACATTAACCGAATACCTCCCATGAATATAGCCGTGAATAAAGCAAGCTAAAATATCTGTCTTCTCAGACCTTATTTCCTTAATTAGGAACACAAACAAAGAAATGAAGAAAAAGTAAAAGAGAATGACAGTTACTAACAAATTCACTGAATGAAAATAAAGCGAGAAAGTTGGAGGGGCTGGTCTGCTGGGGTGTGGAACGGTAAACTTCGGAAGTGAAGTCAAACTTTAGGAGACACCTGAATTGGAATTTAAACTGAGCCATTCAGCTCCTAAAAGAGCCAGTGTCAGAAAAGACATTGGCAAAGATAACAGAGAAACCAGAGTCCAGTCAGTCAAGAAAAAGCAGCAGGACGACAGTGTTTGCCACAACTGGGATTCACTAATGTGTGGCTTCCAGAAACAGAAAGCCCTCTGCTCACTGGTCCTCCCACAAGTGTGGTAGCCCAAGGTCAGGGAGAGTGCTTGGGACTGGGGATGAGCATGAGGTGTGGTGACTGGGGGAAGGTGTACTGTTGTTAGGGACTACATTTTTATCAAATCTTGCCTTGGATTGAAGATGCCTTGTATACCTCCTCCAGGCTCTAACAGTAACTACTATTAGAAATATGTTTAAAAATTCATTTAACTCCTGAGCATCAAGTGGGCTCCTGGGGTTGCTTTCCTGCAACTACCAACTTGCCATGGATGACTGTTCTCTCTTCTGGGAGAGCAGAGGGGGAAAATACAGTCTGAGTGGTAATTTATCTATCTATCTATCTATCTATCTATCTATCATCTATCTATCATCTATCTACCTACCTACCTATCATCTATCTATCAATCTATCATCTATCATCTATCTATCTATCTATCAATCTATCATCTATCTATCAATCTATCATCTATCTATCAATCTATCATCTATCTATCATCTATCTACCTACCTACCTATCATCTATCTATCAATCTATCATCTATCATCTATCAATCTATCATCTATCTATCATCTATCTAATACAGCTACCATCTATCCCATATCATCTATATCATCTATAAACTTGTCAATCAACCATCTATCAGATACCAGCTATCA